CCTAAATGTTTAACAATAAAAAAACAAGACAAGTACATACTGTACAGCCACCATTTCACAAAATAGTCCGAGTGTCTGAGAATACAAATATACCTTTCGCTGGGATTTCTGGAGGCACGTCAGCATTTTCTTTGCTCTTTTTCTTTTTGAATTTCTTTTCTTTCTTGGGAAGCACGGGCGAGGAGCTAACAACGCTGGTTACAGTCTCCCCAGAGCTACAGTACAAGGAGAAACGAAAGAGCTGAAGAGGCGAACAGCGCCGTTCTGCTCCGTGGCAGAGACTGTCTGACCTTGGCCTAATAAGAAAATGTGTACATTTGGGTAAACGGCAGTTCATAGAATCTAGCTCGGGCACATGTTTATGCTGATTCGATGTAATTTGCCCTACATGTGTATTGTTGTATTTGCAAATTCTTCTTATTAAGCAGCCAATAGTGGTTTGGCTAATCAGATAAACGGTGTCTGTCCTCGAGGATACAAACCATGCCTTGGAGTCTACCAGGATGCAATATCATCTATGGGCACTGCTCTGAAGAATACAATTTATTAAAAGATCTATTTTTTTCCCCCTCTCCTGTAGATACAGGTGTATTCCAGAAAGCAAGGTTTCAGGCCGGCAGGGAAATTGCAGGAGGTGCCACATGTGAGTTGTTAACCTTACAGAGTGCTGTCATGGCATTTAATAGAGTCTGAAGTGAGTCTCCAAGATGCATTGTTATATCTTGTGCGGGTTGTTTTAATAGGGCAGGAAGTGAAGGATGCTGCCATGGGAACCATTCTGGGATTCTGTGCGGCCCACCGTCTGGCAAGTCGCTAGCCAGGCTCCTCCCAAAAACTAATTAAATGCTCTCCACAGCTGCTGCAAATCATTTTTACGTTCCCTTTCCTTTTGTTTAAGAAAACCCATCAATGTTAACAGTATCAAAAGAGACCTACCTGTTCTGTGGACTCTTGACCAAATAATAGCTCGCTGTGGAGGAATAAAACAAAAATTATTGAAATGTGAATGTCTGCTCAATGTTTTGGGATTGCTCGGTGTGTGATTGAAAATGGCTGTGTCAAGCCCCCAGATACTGCACGTTCATTTTTGGCGGGGGTGTTTTAATCCCTGTTTAAATGTATCTGTTCATATAAATCTGTTACAAAAACGTCATCTTTCCACGGTTGTCGCAAAAACGTTCGTGTTTCGCCTATTTTTCAATTGTTCTCCCATGGTTTTGAAAGGGGGGGATTTTAGTCCTACATTTCATTATCAGAATGTGCTTCAGGTCCAGAATTCAAAATGGTGAAATTTACCTTTTAAACGGCTTTTCCTGTGCAGACACTGGCAGATCAGGATGACGGTGAACACAAACACACACATTATCCCGACGGAGCAGATGAGCACCGCACACAGGTACACATCTGAAAACACAACAGGAGCCTCTGCTCAGATTTCTTCGTCTTCAGATGGTTGGGAAATTTGTCCCAGCAAAATCAAATCACAGATATTACACATTTTCACTGCACTGGTTACAAATACTATGTAGGAAATTATAAAAAGCAACTTTTCTAAAAAAAAGAATTAGCATGAAAAACAAAACCTGACCATCTGGTTTTCTTTTTCAACATTTCATGCTAGTGGTGAAAATGATTCCATTCATTGGAAGTACTTGTTCACATGAGTGTTGCCTTTTAACCTGAATTTTTTTAGTATTTCAGTTTTAGCATTTCACTTTAATTTGAGAACGACTATAACTCCTAAGCGTTATTAGTGCCTGTCATCAGAGGAATGAGAAATTGGACAAAAACTTTTGCAGAAAGAATATGTCACGTACTGTACATGGGAGTATGGTCTGAGCCCCTCCGCTCCAACACACTGTAATATATGTAACGTCTGATGCCCTTTTGGTGTTTCTAGAGATGTTTAAGCCTGACAAAGGGTTACAGCACAGACAATTACTAACATCATGTGCAGTGTTTGTGCCCTTTTCGTTTTGAAAGCAAACCTGCAGACTGACAAAGTTACCTCACCCCTAGTGCCTAAGAGGACACTACGTCTTTCCACAAGGCAGAGTAAAGTAATGCAAAACTGAGGATAGAACAATCCCATTAGCTGTCCTAGAAGCATTTTTGCAAACCATGAACACTCTCTCTTTATATTGGGAGAGCAAGAGCTACAGTTTAATTTTAGATTGAAAGGTGAAACACGCTGGCTCGGTCGAGTCCAGGCAGGAGACCAGTCGCTTAAATCCAGGTGCTGGGCTGTGCTAGATCAGTCCAGACCCATGAACGTACTGTACCTTACTGGATGGCAGAGTCCAAGTTACCTGATACCACTTCTCATACAGCACTTTTTGCCTGGGTTCTCTCCCCCAGGAAAGAACAAGGGGTGGATATATGAGCCCTATTTTCAGTTTTGCCATTATTACTTCATTGCTCCCAAGGAATGAAAAACCACCTATAGGTGCAAAGTAATGACAAAAAATGTTTGTATCATTCTTTTTATCTATGTATTTAACTAAATAAAGTACTGTGGTGGTTTGAAAACATGCTTATCAGCGCGGCCTGTTCTACAGGTCTCGCCGTGTTGCCTCTGGGCCCAGCAGTTTGTCTACAGAGTAGTTTTCCACAGGATTGTCATGCCTTTGCCTCTGCCAGTGATGAGGCTCAGGGGGTTTGTGGGGTGGGGGGGTAAGGTCAGACAGAGCAATTTACTCTCAGCACACAGGCAGCAGTTAAAACACAAGAGCACAAGCAATGATGTGGATGAGACCATGAGGTCATTAGCCCTTTGCTCTGTTGGTTCCTAGCAGCTAATCAGTTCCAGTTGCCGAGTGTGTGCTCGATTACTCACAGACACGCACACGTCTGATGTTTGGTTTTATATTAAAGGTGTGTATTGTGTAAGCGAATAAAAGCTTTGCACAATTTGGACACAAGCACACCATCCGTATCCCACACAAAACAATTCTGTGCTCTCTGAAGAGGTGCAGATGTGTCCTTGACATCTGCTTGCAGAGAGCAGAGAGTTCTGGGAAGGGCTGTGGGAATCTGGAGCAAGCTGAGCAGCCATGTGGTTGAAGCCAATATCCTGAACTCTTACAAGAAAAAGCTGGATCCTCAGATTTATTAGCTACAAACTACCAAATGGGCTAGAGGTGCATACTGCATGAAGATATGAACATATGAAAGGTTATAAATGAAAAGAGGCCATCTAACTCATTTAGACCATTTGGTAATTGCTTGAGGTGCTAGGGATTGAACTCAGGACCACACATGTGCCAAGCATGCAATCTACCACTGAGAACATATAAACTTATGTTCTCAAACCTGTGACAGAGGAGTTCAGTTCAAGTATTGGTTCACAGCTTTAAGACTGGGGAGACACATTCCAGCAGGTTTCATAGGTCCCTGAAATAAGCTGTGGAATGATGAATCGTTCTATTTAAGCATATAATAAGATATTCATCAAAACCCCTGGACGCTCTGCCCCCCCTGGACTGTGCCATGTGGGGTGAATGAGGACAGCTGACCGTGAGTGGAGCAGTCAGAGCGATCCCTGAGCTGTGTGAGCAGGCAGGCTGCAGCAGTACTGTAAATCCTCAGGGAATTACGCCGACAACAGCTGAAGCTCAGCCAGGCATTACGCCATAGTGGATAATGGATAAAAACAGCTAACAAATTGTAAGGATTCCCCAAGATCTGGCCACGGTAAGGACCTGATTTGTTTTTGTTTGTTCTTTAAATATACACCCCAAACAGAACCTGTCAGTGACAAAAAGAGGAAAAATGAACAGTACCTTCGAAAAGACGCCAGATCCCTTCATTGCCCCGCACAACGGGTGAGACACGCACTGCAAGACAGTTAGAAAGTGATCTTCAGCTACGGGGAGCTAAAAACAGCTTGATTACATGTTTCTGTAAGTGCGTAAGACATACTATGCTGGAGTTGGAGTACTATGCAATCATTGTGCTGAGATTATACTTTTTATTTCTAAAAAAACTTGCTTCCTGGTTCATTCCCTTGTGGTTTTCATACTCCCACAGAGATGTCCAGAAATACATGCGAAGAGAGGAGCAGTGGTGCCTATGGCACCCCGGCTCTTGCTGGCTGTCTTTACTTTCCCCCCTAGGAGTTCAGAGTTGTTCTGACTGACTCGTCTCTATCAGCGGCCCTGTCAGAGCCCTGCACCTACTGTACAGTGTCTCGCGCTGCAGTTCTTCACAGGCAGAGCTTTTCATGGGCCTTGCAGAGAGCTGAACACATTAACTTTTCATAAATTAAAAACAAGACAGAGACGCACGCGTTTGACTATGTTTAGTCTCCGCTGCTACAAAAGTATTTTCATAAATCTCTTTGACAAAGGGAGTGATATACTGTACAGTGATGAGAGCAAGACTGTTTCCATTGAATGACTTCCAGAACAGGTCATGAGGAATTTCAGGGTTATTATTCATGATGTGCAGAACCTTATAGTGTGCCTCATTTGCAGAGAACGTGTGTCTTATCTAAACGAAGCCCCCAAAGAGCCAAAACTTGTTCTGACTCGAGAGCTAATTCAATCATGTTTTTTAAAAAATATACACACAGTCACTCTTCGAGTAATGTAAGGATTACCCTCTGAACAATTTTACCAATCTTATCACAATCTGCAGCAGTAAATCCTCAGGGAATTACACAGACAATAGCTGAAGCTCAGCAATAATGCACAATAGATTCCCCAAGACCAAAATATACGTAAATCACAATGAACTTTTATACAGTACGTTTGCATTTACATTTAATGATAATACATGTAATTTTTATGACAGTGTTGTAATAATGCACAGCTACACTATTACAATACTGTTACAGTATACTGTAGTACTGAAGTTCTACCCCCGGTGATGAACTGCTAGGACTGATGAAATGCTCACCTTCTTCCCAATCACCCTCTATACTGTACAAAGAGGAAGGTAGATCTCTTCCTCCTGTCTGGTTCTACACGGGCTGACAGCGAGTGATACCTCTCTCATCCTCTCTCCAGGACAAGAATGCACCTGTTCATTATTAAGGGCAATAAACCCATCAGAGGTTCCAATTCTGTTCTTACTTCTCCACCAGCCAGCACACTTTTTAAGGAAAAAAATGGAACGACCACTACAACTGTAACACATGCAAAGAGCATTGCTAAAAAACCTAACACAGAACTTCACATATCTTAAATCGTAGTGTCGGATTGCTTTTCACACCGCTTGAACACGTTTCAGCTACGACTAAAAGAAATATACAGGATCTTTCTACTGTATACTTTCTAGGTAAAGTCAGATTTACTTAAATCTGCGAGCACCTGTATAATGTATATACAGGTAGCAACTAAACATGGCATATATAATGCAGGTATCAGACCAAAACCCAGCTCTGAGCCTTTCAAGAGAGAAAAGACTTCATTTTTAGAGTACTTATGTTTTTGTAATAATGTTTTTTCTATCTGACACTAGGGTAAATCAGTCCAGAGTGATGTTTCCTGGATATCTAACCAGTAGCTCTAACGATCTGTGGCTCCTCTCTGTCCTGAGCCACCCCAAAGTCAACTGCAGTTCTAAGGAGATTCAGATTCAGGGTGTATTTATTACGATATCTATCCATTCACTTCCTATCCTTCATCCAATTCCTGGTAAGCCACAGGCGCAAGGCAGGCTACACCCTGGACAGGACACAGGGCACACACAGACGCAAACTCACACCAGGGCCGATAGTCCCAGAAGCTGATTAATCTACCAGTAAATTTTGGGGCTGTGGAAAGAAACTGGAGCACCCAGAAAAAACCCTCACGAATGCAATGAGAACAAACCTTGTGTCAATTACACCCCAGGGCAAGAATTGACACCAGCTTGGTGAGGCGGCAATGCTAAATACTGCCCATTCTAGAACATATGTTTTAAAAAATAATTCAGTTTCTCTGTGCTGAAATGGGAAATACGCTCATTTTTTTCTGTCTGTCCAAGAACAATTTTTCATGCCTGCCTCTGCACCTGATTTGTGTGATGCATTTGTTCTTGTTTCCAAAAGCCATACATAACCTCATGCCTGTAGCCGAGAGCTCTGGATCATTTTCACGTCAGGTCGTTTATTAAATCCCATGGCAACAGGTTCCAGATGGCAAAGCACGATTTGACAAAGTCCACCTTGTAGCTGTTGGTGTCCCATTGATTTTCGCTCAGCCCTTGGCAAAGATGGATTCTCACCCTTGTTTCGTGAAAAGCTCAGTGCTGTTAACTGATTGCTGAAAGATACAGGAGTTTGAACAAGGCTGGTTCTGCTCACTGTTGCTCGCTTTACTGTGATCTCAAGGAATCGGGAAGGAAGTGTTGATAACTGCACGCTCTTCGACAAACTAATCTTAATGCCCTAGTATTAGTATGTCCTTGGCGGAGTGTGACTGGGATTCTCCGAGAGGTGATGTATAGGAGTCAGACAGGTGCTGGGATCACATTAGGAGAGCAGGCGTGAGCGTGCACTGATGCCATTGAGAACCGCACTGCTCCAGTGTCTTTCCTGCTCAGGACTCTGTGACATGCAGCAGCTGAAATGGGAGAGAGCTCTCAGAAGTGGGTGCTCCAGGGGAAAGTTTCATAAAGAGCTGGCTGATGACTAGCAACTCCAACTTGTGGTGACTTGAGGGTATGAAAGGGAAATTTATGGTTGATTCCATATTTGTTTAAAAACGTTTGTATGAAACAAGCTGAATTTTTGCACCAAGAGTTCTGGGAGTATGGAACAAGCCACATGGTGTGTTGTTGATAACGATGTCCTGGGTTCTTTCAAGAAATGATTGAATGAGATCTTCAGATCAATTATCTACTAGAAAACAGTCGGCCTAGATGGGACGAATGACCTCCTCCGAATGTAACTCTTCTTACTATTTAAAGTATCTTACAGTATATCAATTTCTATATATTAAATATGTCCCTGTATTTGAAGAAGACTGCAGTCATAAACCAGAATAATACAAACTGTGAAAACTTATAAAGGTATTTCTATATGCACACATTTCTTATTATATAAATATCTTTGCAGAAAAATGAAAAACAGCTTTTCTGACTCCAAAGTAAATTTAGCACTCCAGATTCAAACCCTGCCTTCAAATCCACATCTGATTCACATTTTCTGTGGTGAAGCTGAGTGAGGCCTGAAGAATTCCTTTGAAAAAGTGTTAACACACACCTCAACGAAATACTTTTTATTGGCACTAACGTGTGGTTTGCCTGCAAGATAACTATATAACAAAATACACAGATGCACGCAACAAAATCTCACTCCAAGGGCTGGACTGCAGAGTCTCAAGAAGACAAGAAAGGTTGCAAATGAGAGGAGGCCATTCAGCCTGTTTCACCATTTGGTACAGGAGTGAGTAGCTAATGGATTAAAATTAGCCTCATCCAGCCATTTCTTGAAAGAAACCAGGCTTCAACCACATGGCAGAGTAGCTTGTTACACTCCCCCAACCCTTTATCTAAAAAGTGCCTTTTATTCTCAGTTTTAATTGCACTTAATTTCCGTTTGTATCTGTTGGATCAATTTTCCACTGCGTTGCCTTTCTCAGTGCTATTGAGCATTTTCAGTACTTGAATCGGATCCCCTTGTAGTCTTCTCTGTTCAGGATTTAAAAGACTGAGTTCTTTCACTTTCCCCGTGTAGGATATTCCTTTAAGCTTACCTCAGCATCAACTCTAGACTCATTCCAGAGCAGAAATAAGCTTCTGAAACATGGTGACCAAAACTGAACACTCTATTCTGAATGTGGTCTTTATAGTACCCTGTACAACTTTATCATGACGTTATTTTGATTTCAATTTTACACTTTTAGATATACAGTAGCTTAATTTAACCTTTTTTTTTGCTTCCCCTTGTTGGCTACAAGATGTTCACTAGGAATAACACCCAAGAATTAAGCATACTGAAAAGATTATGGTTTTAGTCAAAATTTGGCTTAACCCGCTTGACTATGGGCTGACCTCCTGGCCATAGGACAAGGAGGCTGGGACTCCCAAGCAGAGTGAGGAGTGACCAAGGAGCAGCTGTGGAGGTGGAGAGCGGGTGGAGATACAGTAGAATGCTGAAAGACATATGCAAGGGAGAGAGGGGGATTCCATGCAGTATTTATAATGTTTTAGGAGAGAAATGATGTCGGGAGTGATGGTGAAGTACCGACAACTGAGTCTGATTGAACTTGGCTGTTGACGTTGTTCCCAAACATTCATTACAAACTCCATTAAATGTGTCACTGTCAACACCTTATCTGTTAGTAAATTCTTCATGCTCAGTGTTTCTCATCTTGCATTTGTTTCTGCTACCTGCATTCTGCACTTTTGTACATGACGTGCCACCTGTCAATGGTTTCTCCAGTATTGAATTTTGACTAAATCTTATTATATTTGCTTTGCTGTTTCTACAATGTTTACCAATCTTCTTAATTTGGTATAATCTGAAAATTTGACTAGTTTGGCTAACTCTACCAGAATCTAGATCATTGATAGAAATTAAGAATAGCACTGGCTCTAACACAGATACCTGTGGTACTCCACAAATTACATCACTACCATATGAGCATAAACCCCCTATCAATGATTTCTGTTTTCTGTTTATTATGCAGTTCTGTTCTCTTATCTGTGTATTATGTTTTGTATCTGTTAACCATCCGGTTACTAAAATGCATACTTTGAATGATATCAGCACTGAGAATGAAGAATTCCAAGAATCTTTTATGAGAACTTTCTTAAATTGTTTATGACAATAAATATACTGAACCTTATTATATCATAAACAAAGGATATCTCTATCCTTTACTAGAGGTCCTTGTTGAAAGAACTCTAGCAGGTTAGCTTAGCAAGACTTACTTTTTCTAAATCCCTCTTGCCTGCCCTGTAGGTCACATTAAACATTTAAAGGATGAAACTTATTTAACTGCAGTATTAACAATGTCTATTTTCCTTTAACTAAATAAATTTAACGGTTTTTACAAAGCTGGCCATGACCCTGACAGGCAGATAGCATTTTATCTCACCTTTTTCTGTGGTCCTCATGAGACAAGACTGGCTGTTACTCTCTACTCCTTTGTTCTTGTAGCAGTGCGTGTGGCTGTGCATTACGCACAACACTGTACAAATAGGGAGGAACTCTCACTGTGCAGCCAATGTCAATATTTTACTGGAATACCCATGCCAAAGTTCCTTCTGTTATCATCTCAGCATGTCCAAATTCTACACATTTTCAGACCCAATAGCTGTTTGTATTGGCAGCAGACAAATTCATAGTGGTAATAATATATTATGGTGCATGGAAGCAAAAGCTGAAATGTTACAATTCAGCTTCATCTCCCACTGTGAAACAAACAAAGGACTTTCCGTCTCATGTGCTATCTCAGCAATATCGACACTGCAATCACCTTCTTTGTTGATGTAAAAAAGTCCAAGCAGATTACTAGAAAGAATTCGGTGAGCAGTTTTGGTGATCAAGATTACACAGTCTTGAATACTGTAGGACTGCATATTGCAGTTCCAACAGAGCAGATTGATTCCATTTGCTTACGCAGGCTGTCGAAACATGTACTGACAATTTCTGCTGTTCTTTTTCTTGCTGCCTGACCCCCCCCTCCTAATTAGCAGTGGCTGCCCTGCCTTTTATAATGTGTTCTGCGTAGTTCGAGGAAGGAATTACGAGCCAGTGCCGTTCCTAAAGAAACCCGGAAGTGAGGAAATTCAGATCTGGACAGCTGTGTTTAGGGTCCAATTTGATCGGAAGTTACCAAAGGAAGCACCTGTGGAGTCGAGCACAGAGCCCGACACCTTCCCCAATCAAGCCCCTCACACACCGCTGGCCTCTAAAAGAAGTGTGTCATGGGATTATGGCCTTGTGACTGTTGACTTAGTCTAAAAGCACAGCCCGTTTCTGATCCAGAGATGGACTTCTGATTACTTCTTTCCCCTATTTTCTTTTCTGCACGATATTATTTGGAGAGGGAGAGAAAGGGGCACCTTTGTATAACGTTCAATGCCTGATGTATAAGTGACAAGCTGTTAGCAAGCTGCACTCGGCTGGTGTCTGTGTGTGGGGAACGTGGAGCTGGACTAAGCCGGTGAACTGGTGGAGCTGTTTTCTGGTCCTTCGATTTGACCTCACCTCTTAATTCTGTGGCTGCTGTGCCATTTGACGAGGCTCTCCATCTATTCCGGTGTCTCCGTATTTCCTGGACTTTACACATGTAGTGGCCTTTGTCTTCTTGTGAAATGTTCAAAAGGACCAGATTGTAGATTGTTCCCGCCGTCTCTTCTACAAGCATCTGCTTCTGCTGATTGAAGCGTCTTGTGTCGTTTCCGTACACTTGCACCCTCCTCATGTTCATTTTGACAATCAGGTGCTCTTCGCCCGACACCAGAGAGAACACCCAGCGGATGACCAGATGGCTGTTAGACTTTTTCCTCTGAGAGACATGGCAGGAGAGAGTGACGTTCTCGCCCTCCATCGAGACAGTGATGGGTCCGGGAGACACAGTGACATTCAGGGCCCCACACACTTCTGGAAAGGAAAATGAGGGAAACAAAGTGACACACAGACCGGATAGTTGTTGTCAGGCTATGCTGTAGACTGTTCTATAGTGACTCTTTAAAAAACATTAATCAGGCTATGAACATTCTCAAGCAGTCTGCACTGCCTAGAAGGAGCCTTATCATAGATATTAAAGTCATGGATTATTTAAAGAAAGCTTTTAAAATTATTTCTTACATTACTAAACTAATTGTAACTAAACTATTTTTTATCGTTATCAAAGAAATTAAGAGACTTTGACTACAGTATATATGAAGTTACTATATTAAAGTTTATAGTTTAATTAAATATAATTTATTTTGTGAGTCTTGTCACATGGGGATGGAAATAAAATAATGATGCTAAGAAACAATGCTAAGAGGCCCTGTGATGAAGAGACAAAGTGTCTGACTCACTGAGAAAAAATGAAGGACAGTAAACAAGACCACAGTCCTCTTTTTAAAGCTGTAAACATCATACATGTCTGTAGCAAATAAATGATTATTCCTAAACTGAAGAAAAGACAAGAAAAAGACTGACAAAGGAACAGGCGTAGTTTTCAGAAAGAGACAATAATGTGTAGAATCTTCCAGATTCAAAATCCCTAAACCCATTTTCATTGAAACACACTTACCTACTCATTCTGCAACAACAAAAGACAAAGATTGCAGACACTTAATATTTTGTCCCTAATAAAATAAAAATATCTAACCTGCTCCCAGTTTTTAAACTGGTTATTAAGCACAAATGTCTCTCAACAGCATAATGCTATATTCATGTGCTGAACAGGACTTTTATCCTTGAGACAGTCTGATTAATTTCAAACATGAATGTACACTAAAATAATGTTCAGCAGGAGAGAGACTACAGGTGGAAGGAATTTGTGAAGTTTTCTGAAGCTAAAAAACAAACTCAAGATTGGAAACATCTGTTTAAGTATTTGTCTTGTTTGCTTTCTTCTCTGTTTGTGATGTTTGCCCTGAGCCAATCCAGAAAGGGTTTTCCATTCAACAGCCACATCACAGGCTAATAGCTCCTCAAGCACAGAATTACCTCTCTAATTTGACAAAGGACAAGAGACAAAATACCCAGCTTTCTCCGTATTCTCAAAAAAGGTTTATGAACATATGAAATAGTAAAGAAAAGGGAGTAAGGATGCTCAGTGAAAAGAAGCACAGCAGTGCAGAACAAGATGCGTAGATAAAAATGTGAAATGTGTGGATTAGAAATTGATGGATGAAAGTAAGGAGCCAAGCAGAGACAGCAGTGATTTTACATTAAATGGGACTTGATTATTTGGGTTCTTGACACACTTGAGGTGACACAATGTGAACAGTCCCATTCTACCTGAGGTATAGCTGATTCTTAGATGGTGTCTGAACTGCACAGTAACACAGCAAAGTATTTTCAGGAAAATACCTGTTGATACAGGTATTTTCTTGAAAACTTAAAACATTGCATCTTTGCTGAATGCTTTTAAGTAAAAAAAAGTGAAAAGAACATCTGCATCACATTAGTTAAGAACTTGTCTAGCTAAAAGGCACATATTCTGAGTTTCTTCATGCAGGTTTCAAAAGCATGTCAAAGTAAAATCTAATGCATGTCTTGATGTGCTCACATGTGTAATATACAGTAGATGCACTTCATCCTCTCTTCTCTTTAATATTCCCTGCTTTTGAGCCTTTCTAAGAACAAGACTATTTTTTTAACATACCCTGTAACATATTTGTGCTTTTCACATCTATGACAGCTGCATCCTGACTCCAGCAGGCAGATCAAGTTACCTCAAAGAGTTGTCTATTTTATAATTTCGTTAAAAGCTTAGAAAAGCACACTTACCTCCAATTAAAGCTCTAGTCAGGAGAACTATGACCACTGAAGAGATTTTCATTTTTCAGACACACAGGCTCCATAAACTCAGCTAAACGTCTTCGCGAAAGGAGTCCCAGTAATTTGGTCTGTGTGTGTAATATGAAACAGTACTTGTTCTGTTCTCAGTTAGAAACACCCTCCCTTTCTAATCACTCCTCTCCTGCAAATGTAGGAAATGTCATTTCCTGTGCTGCAGTTGGAACCAGCACAAATTTCCATCTGGACCTACATGAAACGCGACCACTGGGTCTTTGTATTCATTGTGTTAGCTGATCACAGGGGAGGATTACTTACTGTCTCCTGTAGCGTTATCTAACAGTGTTTCCTTGTGTACTTACAAAAACTCGTCTTTGGGAAAATGGACATAACCTGATTTCAGGATTAATAGTATTCTCCTGAAACTCCTTCCAACGAGTAAACGAAAATACGGATTTCACCAAGTGTCTGTCTCCCCCTCGGTCACGTGTCTGTTTGAATGCAGCTGCCCCTGTCTGAGGCAAACTGTTGCTGTTGGGTCTTTTGAACAGTTGTGGGGCTTGACAGCAGAGTTGGTCTGCCCCACAAGGCAGCTCTGTCTTCCACCCTGCTCTGTGGTTGGAAACTTGATCTTTTATTGGTGTGCATAATGTGCTGAGTTAGTTGTTCTTTCCTAGGAGTCGGGGCCTTGGCAGGGGTGCAGATTGCACAATATTATAAAAAAAATGATTACAGTTTAGGATTAAAATTGAAAAACATTTTTAACCCTTTTGGTCCTAGTGCATGGTCCTGACTTTCAACAGCTCTGCCTGTCAGCCACGTAACTGATGTTTTGTTCTCTCAAGAACATTTCCTCATGCTGTCAAGAAAATGTCCTCATGCTAAGTAAGACGTAAGTCACATCATTACAGCTCAGGATCAAACATTGTTCTCACGTTTTAACACAATTTATGCACGAATGCTGTCTTAGGGTGTTGGTAAGAATTTAGAATCTACTGTGTTTCAAAATATGTTAGGCAATGATTAACCAAAAACATTAATGTTTTTCATATATAGGCTCACAACCTATTTTGCAAATGATTATATCAGATCCTCTTGCGCCACAGAATCAAATCCTCATTCATCAGGCAAAAAAATGACTTTTACCTCATATCGTTCATATTGACACACAGAAATCTTTCACCATTGCTTCCGGTGTATATTTGTTTCATCAAGACATGCAGCCCAACAGGAAGTCTCTCCAGGGTGAGCTGTATCTTATCTAAGGTAAAGCCCCAGGTCAATACTGAATACACATGCACTAGTAATGGGATGTGACTCCTGAGCACTGTACTGCAGATTCAAGTCTGGGAGGGTTAATGATAATAATCTCACCCAGCTGCTTTAAATCATAATCATTACTGACTTTTGCTATATTCTGTATTCATCTCATGCAAACACCTCTTTCTGTGTTTTAGTCCCATGTATCCCTCCTCCACTCCATCTCCTCCTGTGCAGTTGCCCCTTGGATAACTCCTCCCTCTGAATTGTGTCAGAGCCTCCTCACAGTGGAATATCGATACCTAAATTGCTGGATGTGCTGAAAAACGGTGGAATCATATTTTTACTTCATTGTCTCAGTAAGCCTTTTATGACATTGGAAAGCATTAGTAATAAAAATAGCTAAGCTAAAAACTGTACCCTAATTCTGCTATAGTCATCCTTTTTGTCCCCAATGTCTTCCATCAGTGGAAACAGTGGTAACAGAGAAACTGACCATGTGTTTAAAATAAAACAAACTGCACAGTGTTCTTTGATCTGTGTCAATTGCTGTAGATTACACCCTTCAATAATAAATCTCTGATTCATATTTCTCCAAAAAATAAACTAAATCAAAAACCATTTCTTGAGAAAAAAAACATTCGGCCTGATAAATTTCACTCAGGGTTTTGGGGGTTAAATGCTTTAGAGTAATGAACAATTAATAAAAAACACATGTTCTGTTCAGGGAAAGAGTTTGAAAAAATAGATGACTTACAAGTCTAACAAAGAAAGCAAGAATATCCCTGTTGTATGCAAATGTGTTTCCAAGATTTGAAAGAACTTTAGACATGTACTTACCTGTTTTCCTTTTCCTTTGCCTCCAGAAATCTGAATGAATAATGTTTGATTTGTACATCATTATGAATCTATTAAAACTTTTATTACAGTACATTCCACTTTTCTTGTTGTTTTCCCACGCATTTTATGATGACATTTTTAACCTTTAAGAGCCAGTGCTGTAACACGTCTCCTGACAATGATAAAACCCTTTTACCATTTGTTTGTAATGATCTTATAAAACAGTTTAACAAACTACATTTATGCCTCAACAAAGATTGAGGCATAAATGAATGGTATCTTAACTGGTGACTACCAGTACTCAGACCTGTTTCTGTGTTTGGCTCAGTGTTTATTTCATGTGTGTTTTTCCAGTTCGCTGCTGCTGAGACTGACCATGGGGTGTGTGCAGCTGCAGTTCTGGTCCCCTGTTTCAGCTGATACCCTAACAAAAGCTCCACAAGTAGGGAAGGAAAGGACACTGCCACCTGGTGGATGGACTGAGCTCTGTGTGAGCAGAAAGGGACGGTCGGAATACCATAGTTGAATTTCCCTTTGGCAGCTTCACTGTTTTTAATTCCTGCCTATATTTTTATGACACTGTTAAAATGTATTGCATCTCTCATTTGACACTCAAATTTATCTGTAAATGAGTTACAAATTAAGTTACACATGGACTGTAATGTCTGAGAGCAACTTTTGAGTTCACAATTCTTGCCGTATACTGAGTTCTAACAAGTAGTAATTTTTTAAGCATTAACCAGTCATTAAATGTTTTTTGTTGAATGCATAATGTATTCTTGCTGATCTCAAACACAGCATCTCCCAGTCCCGGGGCAAAGTTTCTTCTTTTTCACTCCATACCGATGATTAAGTAATAGCTGATAAATTGATCAGCAGGAAAACAATTGTGGGAAATCAGGCAGCTGCTCTGAGGAAAGAGATGTTTCCAGGCAATCCCACACACAATCCCAGCAGCCCTCAGACAGCTGTTGTCTCGCCCTCTGCCCCCTGACAGCGGACTGAGTGACCTGATGGCCTCCGCTCATTCCTTGCTTTCAGTGCTCATCAGCAGTGCTTGTGGCCAGTTCCAAAGGTCATTTCCAGAGGCAGGACCTGTAGCGGAGCAGGAGCCAGGTTCTGAAAATATTTTAGTCTGTACAGTATATTGTGTGGTTGATAACCTGGGGAAATCAAAAGAAACGTGTTTTTGTTTCTGTTGTAGATGTCCATCCCCCTGGGTCTACTAAGCACTCATAATAGGCACTTGGGCCATTTGTAAGGCAACAGCCAGTGCTGATACATTAAATCACTTTCTCAGTTTACTTGTTTATTGGCTCTGCCATTAGACAAATTATTCTCAGTCAATTTGTTTCTAATTGTGCTGTTGGATGCACAAAAGGCTTGATGCTTACCAGTCCTGGTTTGCTCAAGGATCAGGCATGAACGTACTGCAGGGTTTATGCTTCAGATTGCCTCTTCTGCCTTTCACCTTGGATATATAAGTCTAAATATAGCTCAATCTGAAATACCAGTCAGGTTTATCGGTGATGGAGTTCCAGCACTTGTGTCAGGTTTAATTTGCAAGTCGCAGTGAGTAGAATGGTTCATCTTCATTCTATCCCCCGTGTGTATTCATAACACAGCGCTGTTTAACTTGATTGGCTTCTGGAAAAGAGGGCAGGTTTCAAAAAGCGTTTGCTTGATTAGGACAGCTGCATTTCAAAGAAAGGCAAGCCTTTTCTGATTTCTTCATTGGAAACCTCACAGACAGAGAGAGGAAAATTCACTCACAAACCTGGGAAATAAAAGTACTAAGTATGTATTTATACCTGTAATGTAGCTTTCTGACCTAAACCATCATATAAGAGAGGATACAAATGAAAGGAGGTTTCAGCCCATCTGGCCTCATTGATAGGTGATAGCTAATTGATCCAATTACTTTTCATTGTTTCTTGAAGAAAGACAAAGTAACAGCTCCAACCTCAAGACTGGGCATCTAATTCCGCTTCTTGCTCTCAGTTTTAAATGCACTTTTACAACTTTAATATAATTTGCAAGGTGTTTTCCCAGTTATGAATTTGATAAAAATATTTTTGAAATACATTTGATGCTTCTACAGTGTTTGTTAATCCTCTTAGGCGGCATCATCTGCAAGCCTTCCACGTTTGGTAGTTTTCTAACTAAACCAGAATTTAGATTTAGATGCCAAATAGGAATAGCAGTGGTCCTAGTACAAATCCCCATGCTACAGTATATCACTCAACTATAGTACATTATCCCAATCTGAACCAACCCCTTATCTGTACTCTTTGTTTATTAACCAATTCTTCATCTAAATGCTCAAACTTCCATGAATGCCAAGCCCTTACAGTTTAAGAATAAATCTTTTATAGATTTCTAAATACACCCTATTGTCTACTCTGTGTGCTCATTACTGTTGTTGTTCCTTAAAATAATTTACCTGTACTCCATTTATTTATAGTAATTAATAATAAGAATAGAACAATTACTTTTTAGCAATTGAATTAAGGTGGAACTTTAGAGAAACCAGAGACCAGAGTGTTTTTTGGTGCCCAAGAAGTGAATATAACACTTCATCTCCTCGTACAGCACAGTGTATCTGGTCACCATTCAAAATTGTGCTCCAGAGGAAACAGCATCACCTACTGGTCCACCAACACCATTGACAGAAGCAATATGTTTTTTCTTAGAGGCTTCCCATCCCAGTACTGACCAGGCCCAATGCTTTATAGCCTCTAGCTCAGGAGATCTGATAAGGTCAAGCTATTATGGCAACACTGTAGCCTGTCAACAGTATCTGTCCTGGGCACCTTCAGTATAGGAGGTTTATGGTTTTACTGGACAGAGTGAAATTAATTATTTAAATGTTAATAATGAGCTGCTGAAACTTTCAGAAGATAATAAAGGTAACAGACATACTTCTTCTTCTTCCGCTGACCTTTGTCCATGTACAGAAGGACTGGGTTTGAAGACTTTTTGATTTATAGACCCAGGAGTGTCTGTTTACTGAAGTGTAGAAATAGTTCAGGAGGGTCAGACACTGCTTTTAATGATTGCTGTATGTATGTCTCACTCACATCCTCCACTCATCTGAAATATTCCGGGGTTTTTTTTTAAAGTAAAAAGTAGTTACACTAATGGATTTGTATGTAATCCCACTGGTATACTGTCTTTATATCAAATAAAACAGGCAGTATTACTGGGTACAGAAAAACTATGTGACTGATGTTATCATTTTGTGAAGCAGATAAAGATATTCTGTAGTTTCAATGGCACAGAGTGTAATGGAGAAAAATAGATTTCCTGTTTTCTTTACAAAGCTGATCTAGAAAGGCTCAGCCTATATAAAGATAGATTTCTAAGGAAATGGACATCAGGAAATTCAGGGTATTGATCCATTTTGACTGCTAGAAGTCCATCTGTAACTAAACATATCGATTGATTACTCATCTTTTTAAAAATGTATGAAGAGTTTGAAATCAAAACTGCTAAGTGACACAGAAGTATTTTTTTTTGCAATACACTTGATGATTTTATCAATCATACATGTCAGCACTAATGGGTACATTAGTATCCCATATTCACAGGATATATAAATACAAGTTGGATTAGAAACACAACTTACTTTGCATTAATTTTAAAATAGTGTCAGCTCAGCTCTGTGGAAAAATAGATCCGTAGATTTGATCACTTTCTTCAATATTAAATTTGAAAGACTTACATAAGTAGCATAAAGTTAGATAGATAGAGCTCAAGAAGAACATCAACTAATACCATTCAAACAAGAAGCTTATTACATTGTCAGACTTCAATATCAGGTCCCCAAACGCTCTTGTGCTGTGTTAACTTGCGGGCTGATCTTGTCAGGTCTCAGAAGTTCAACAAGGCAGGGCCTGATTAGTACTGGGATGGGAGACACCATGTTGCTGCAAGAAATGCTGGTGGACCAGAAGGTGGTGCTCTTGATTCTTGACCAGAATGTTCAAACCACTGTCCGAGTCTGTCCCTGCCAACACATCTCCTCCCCCTCTCTGAGTTCAGCCTCCCAATCACTCTGTCTGTTGGGCTGGAGCTCCCAGCTTGTTAGACCTCTTGGACCTTTGCCGCCGAATGTCTCATGGACTCAGTGAAGCTCTTTGGGACACTGCAGCATGCAAAAAAGTTTAACACACCCCCAGCTGAACTTGAATGCGTTTAACTATTTAAGAGAGGGCTAAACATAAACTGGAGCAAAGAGCCAAAGTGGAAATGTCTGGCATCCGGAGACTCCATGATGTGCTCCCCGATCCACTAGCACTTAAAGCTCCTAGGCCATGGGGCTTTAGGGTTACCAAGGAAACATCTGGTTCCGCCAGCTGCCCTTCACTCCCCCCCGGACAGACAGCAGCTTCCTGCTGGAAGACTAAAACAGATTCAGGTTGCGATTCAGATTGCAAACGTAACACAATCGAAAGAAAAGCTACAAAATCATCATCCTATGTGATTTTCCTCAGTGACTAGCTGAAAACGTTTTATAATCCTTCCAACCTTACTGATATATTGTGGGCAGTGATCTAAATGAAGTTTATGAGTGCAGTGATTAACTGGACAATTAAAATCCCCACATAACATCAACACTTCCTCAGGCTTACACTACTATAAAATGTCTTGTAAAGGAATCTTGTGTAGGCATTACTTTTTCCTCCACTTTCAGTGGGAGCATACACAATAATAAATTGAAATGCAGTGTTTTCACCCATTGTCTGAATTTAATGAAAGGGTCTTATATCTACCTCACCGACGTTAAGAATATGCCAACCACCTTCTTTCAGTTTTTGTAGTCCTAGAACCAGCACCCGACTCTTCCAGTTCTCTGCTTTCCTCACTATTTGAACCAATATCTGCCACTGCTTCTCAGCTAGTGGAGGGATGTAGCTGTTCGATCTCCCCTCTCCCTCTGACGTACCCCAGTTGATTCTCCCTCCCTTGCTTGTCTGGGTTCCATGTTTCCTTTTCAGGACAATTTGCAGCAAAGAGCCCCTCAGTCTCATGTCCAAAGCATTTCAAAAGCAACTTTCGCAATTCCTTTGATCCTAAACTCCAGTGCAATATTCACACCCCCATTTCTGTCATTCAGTACCATGAAAAGTTGCCGCCGGAATGGAACAGCTTGTTTTAAGAGATTTACCTGCCAATGGAATGTGCTTTAAACTCAACACTATCTGATCATTCCTAGAAAGCTGTCTGTTTAGTTAATCATTATACTGTATAAAACAGAAGAATGCCAAAGAGGGTCATTCATGTAATTCAATTACAAAAAGCTTTACTGACAGGAACATTTAAGCAGGAGGCATAGGAGAAAGTGAGTTTTCCCACTGCTCTTTCTACCTACACACTCTCCTCTTTCAACTTCCATGTCTGTCAATGTTGGTCAATCTCCATCTTCATGGTGTGGCAACTCAGCCTACTGGATCAGGATTTGCTGCTGGTTTAGGAACTTTCTTCTTACCGGATATTGTGACAGAGTGGATTTCTTCTGTAGACTGTCAGACTACAGCTTACAGTGCTGTAGGTTTTCTTCATTGATTCATTGATTGAGGCATTGGTGATGCTCACAGTATTGCTGTTGAGGGAGGTGTGGATCACTTTAATAATGGACTGTGCCAGTGAGCTAATGGCACACTGCCAGGTGGTGAGTTCATGGCTTTTCAGTGTTATGTAGCAGTATGAATGTGGGCTTCTCTTGCTGAGGTGGGCCAAATATTTCAGATAGTTCAAGTAGGTAGCTGCGTCAGCATGCATACTGTAGGTGCAAAAGGAACAAGTAAAGGTTTATTCCAGGCTGAAAAGAGAAGAAAAGAAACGCAACATTTCGGCTGTAGAGCCTTCCTCAGGCTTCAGGCAAATATTTCAGGGATCATTTGTGTAGCAGAAAACGGCCCAATTCAGCTAACTTATTCACTGTGCTCCTGCGCAGCCAGAGGTGGTTAATCTGCAGAACTTCAGGTGCATTAAGAGATTTGGACTGCTATCCTTGCTGCTTCACAAGAGGATTGGAGAAACTATGTTGTCGAAAGTCTTGAGCCAGATACGAATTATTGATAAATTATAAATCATCATCAGAATATAATCATCATTCCATGAAATGGCATTTTATTATCTAAACAAGGGTTTTATCATTGTGCAATAGTGTTCTCAACTCAGTACAGAAGCAAGTATTTGGATTTTGTTTATTGAGTTACATCGAATATCCCACTACTGACACATATACAGTACAATGAGAAGGGGATATAGTGCAGGACACATCTGCAGTGAAAGACTGCAGTGCCATTACTTTGCTATTGCAAATCTGTAAAAGGTTCACAAACACTGCATAACTTTCCTGTCTGCTACTAGGTCAATCCTGACCTTTTTACAGTTTATTTTTCTAAATTAATTAACACTGTTCAGTTGAAAAAATATATTAAAACTACAAGTCAATGCAAACTGTCATTCTCCTTCTCTTAAAAATAAACTGTCTAGTTGTGTTTTTCTGTTAAAATCTAAAGTATTACCTAGCAAAATAACACAAAAACAGATAAACAAAGGTAAACAAAATATAAAAAAGATTTTCTTTTTTACAAAAGCCCTTTCTCTGCGCTGATGTCATTCCTGCAGATAAATGTTCTGGCCTCTTGAGTTGCGCCTTCAGTTCATTCATTTCTGAAACAAAATTCATTCTGATGTTAGTAAATGTGTCCCACACATCCTCGGCTAAAATTTTTTCAAGGTCTGCTTTTCTTTTGAAGCATAGCAAAATGCTCAGGTTTAGATGTTTTGAGGTTTTTTTGTTGAGGAGCAGAAGGTAAAATCATTGCATTGAGCATAGAGTGTGTTAGAATTCATTTGAAAACAGTACGAAAGATTTTGTTATTGCTTTAGATTTCAGTATTTTTTATTTTCCAGATGATTGTTGATATTTTGATAATCCATTTCTGAGCTGAGCTGCTCTGTTTAAAATTCACTGGTTTCTGTAAATGAAAATGTATTTTTTTTATTTGTATTCTGGTGCAACGTACCTTAATGATGGTCTTTTCCCAGAATCGTAATCTACAACAGAAAGGATGCATCTTGATTAATATCCAGTGCACTGTCATTTAAAAATAAGTCACAAGTTTCTTTTCTTCTCTGTACTTTCAAGTATATGAGGAAATCAAGTAACGGATATAGTTTCCTCCCTGAGGAGCGTTCAGATGCTCCCATCAGTACTCATTCCCAAAGCACTGAGGAGTTTGCAGTGGGTCAAATGCCAAGCTGTTTTTGACAGGCAGAGGTGTTGAAGGAGTGCATGTACAGTTCCTCAGTATTTGCTAACACAGGAGTGGCAGAGTTAAGACAAAATAATAATCAATAGGCGATTCCAGATTTGACAGAATTAACATCAGCCCAACAGATTTAATATATCAATTGAGTTACATCAAATATCCCACTACTGACACATGTACAATGAGGTGGATATAGTGCAGGACACATCTGCAGTGAAAGACTGCAGTGCCATTACTTTGCTATTGCAAATCTGTAAAAGGTTCACAAACACTGCATAAGTCTGTTTTACTACACTTTCCTGTCTGCTACTAGTGCAAGTCCAATCCTGGCCTTTTTACAGTTTAGTTTTCTATTTTATTCTAATCCAACATACTCAAATTTAGCTCTTTTATCACACCATTTCAATGTAAACATTAGGTTGCAGGGATCTTATGATTTCTATCACAGTAACAGCATGAACAGGCTGTTACTGACATATACTTAAAGCTAAAACACTTTCAGTAATACAGGCACGCTTCTGAAAGTTAAAACATAAATATCAATTGTATCCCTCAGCCATCTCTTACCTGAGAGATCATTATCCAGCATGTGTTTCTTAATCATGTACAGTTTTATTACAACGAAGCACAAAGCTAAAAATGCACCTATTCCAGCTCCAATGACCGCATACTTGATCTCTGTAAAGCAGAAGAAGAGAAGACAATAACAAGTGTACTGTTGCATGTTTTAGATTTTGATACGAGGTTAATGTGAATATTCAGGGATGGCAAAATAATTGGCTTAGCTACAAACAAAATACCAAAAAACCCACCAATTTTCAACCTTTTTGAATTGCAAATAGAAATAAATAAAAAGTTTGCCAGTACTTTGTCATAGAATTAGACTACACATCAAAGGGAAGTTCAGGATAAATCAATACAAAACCCTCTCATCACAGCTATCCAGGGAAGTTCAATAATGCTACCATGCACTTGTATTTAAGTAAAATTAATCAATAACAGGTCTACAGTTACCATTAAGTAAAAAAAAAAAACAGCCTTGTGTCTCATATAACATCGTCAAGTACAATTAATGTTTTGACCATGTAATTGCTCCCATTACACTACATGGACAGGGCTGTGCTGTCTTGATATGAATTTGCTTTACCTGGTTCGTCAGGGCTCTTTGATCCATTTGCATGGACTTCTACTACCAAAACATCTGCAAAATAGAGTTACATGGATTGTATTCTACTACTTCTTGAAAATTATGTCTAACTTTTACAGGAGAGGTGCATTAACACTAATAAGCTACAGCTGTTATTCCACTTTTAACGAGAGAATGATGTCCACTTCAGTTCAGGTTGCAACAGAGCCAATATCTGGAAAGAAGACTTCATGAAGTGCAGCACAAAAAGCAAAAGATGCTTCTGATTTAACTATCAGTCGAAAAACAAGCACTGCTTATCTCACCTCATCGGGCCGACGCTATTACATTACAGGAAGACTGCAACAGTTGGTATGACATACTTTTGTTTTTTAAAAAAAGAAAGGCTTATCTACAAATAGCATCTTCAAAGCAAAGAAAAACAACTTTAACATTTGCGGCAACCAGCTCTCAAAGAACTATCGCTTTGAGAAACATTAATCCCATTACAATGGACACTTTTTTAAGAGCCCTATACATTTTTAGCCCTAATTCTTTACATTTGTATATCACCATTAATTGCAGAGGATTCTAAAGTGTTAGAATAGAATTTAGACATTGAAGAGGACCCACTTCGTGCAAGACTTGACTGAATTGCTAGGTGGCACACATCAGCTACTTTTCACCAGCAGCCCCACTGAACATTCGACCAGTTGGAGGAGTGAGAAATTGATTCACTAGCTGGATTAAGGGTGAACTTTCGAGAGGCGGATTGGAGAAAAGCAGAGCAGAACAGTGCCGTGGGATCTTTAATCTATGATTTTTCATCTTTAAGTCTTAATTTCTCAACAGAAGGGAGGTACTTTCCAGTTAACCCTTACTAAACCCTTTAAACTCCTTAGCAGTAGTACGAGCAGATGGCATTGATATCTTTGAGACTTTGTATTGCAAAGCCAACTGAGCCCCTCTGTGGTTTTGAGACCTCTAAGCCATAGATCTTAATTTAGTCAGAATTAAAGATGTTTTGACACAACCTAAGACATAACTAATGCTTTTAGAGTGCCACAGTTGTTTAATAAATGTTTGCGCGGCCCACTGGGACGAGACCTGGGATAGATCCAGGACGTGCTAGAGGGATTAAAACTGCGAGCACCTGGAAGTCCCACAGGAGTTGCTGTGGAAAGGCAGGTCTGGTCTGCCCTGCTCAGCCTGTTACCAAAAAGACCCTCATCTGGATGTATTATTTGTAAAGAGCCAGTGTTACTGAACACCTTTCACAAGCATATTCTTTTGATGCAGCGCTACTCCTGAGAGAGTGGTCACCAGAAGCACTGCCTTTCCTCCCTGCACGAGACACAGACACGGTTGTGGGTCAATGTCTTCCAGACTCCTCGCTCTCAGTTTGTCATATCGGGATACCAGATGCTATCAAATCAGCACATAGTGGTGTTTAGTTCACAGCATGACAACACGACAGGGAGCACAAACGCTTTCAGCAACAATCTCCACTATTATTCCTCATTCCGCAAGGTGACACTACTCCTGCACAATGACAAAACCAGTCTGGAAGCTTATTAGTGAGCTGAATCACACTGAAAGTCATCTATTAATGGAGTGATTATGTTTGCATCAGTATGCATTAATAAAAAATAAACAGTGTAAAAAGTGAAGTTAAATCCAAAAACACAAAACCACCATCTATTTACAGTATAGTTTCTAGTAGCTTTCAGAAAGGAATCATAACGTTTTATGACAGAAAACAGAGATCAAACATGTAAAATGTAAAACTATAAAAATAATTTAAAAGCTGTCACATTTTAACACTCTCTTTCTAGTTCTAGTTAGGTCTCCACCCTCCCACTGAGTGTTTGAAATCATACAACCCCCAGAAATCACTGAGGAAGAAATACTGCACGTTTGCTTTCTGAGCTCAAGAAAACAACTTCTCAGTTTGTTTTACAACACTTGTACACACAACTACTTCACAATGCACATATGCAGAAGCAACTAAGAAGTTAATTAAAGGAACATACGTACCTGTCAGCAGGACCACAGTAAAAGCAGAAAACACTCTAAGAGACTGAACCATTTTGGTTTCTTCTGAATTCTTGGCACATTATTTTTGCTGTTCTTACAAGAATGAAAAAAAAACAGGTCACATGTTAGCCCGTTTAGAGAAACACAGCCACATCCTGTGTCTGTTCCTTCTTGAAAGAGAAACTGTAAATAAGACTTGACACTGATATCATTATTGTTCACAAGGACAGTGGACACCTTAATGCAAAACTACATTCAAGTTTCTTGAGAAATCAAATTCATCATCTCTCACGATGTCAGTCTTTTCAGTGTCAGGTGTAATGTTATCCTGACATTTAAAAAGATTCTTATCCTAAAGTTTTTTTTTCAAATTGTGTATTATGTAAGCTGACGTAATCATAATATTGGTCAAACCATATGTCAATTAGTAACTAGTCCTCTTCTCACTTCTCACTGCTGCAGTTACAATCCCTCTAAGACACTGGGCAGGAGGTACTGGCTGCAGAGCACTCTTTTCAGGACTGCTTGCTAGTAAAGATTTAGTCCTCTCATTAGGACCTCTGTGGAACTTCAATTTCTCACCCAGAAACAGGCTCTAACATGTTGGCAATGATGTTACATTATTCAAGGTGTGGGCATAGAGAATAAAGATACTATTTGCTCGGACTTGTACAGGTCCTCATGTTTTCCGACAGTCTGCTCTTAAATTAGAGCAGTTTCGTCATGAGAGATTGTCTTGTCCCGAGTGTGTGTCTGACTGCCATCATTCAAACCTGTCGGTAGTTTAGCTACTCTGACTGCCACACACACAGCTAACCTGACTCCAGTATTTCTGACGTCCAGTCTTGCTCTGGGAGGGCCCGTGCGTCTGCAGGTGCTCCAGGTCTCTTTAACGCAGCAGCTCATGAAGAGCGGGGAGAGTCTGTTAAATTGCTTCTGTTACCGGCTGGTTGATCCTGTGAAGAGTGGGGTTGGAATGCAAGCCCTCAGACGCACGGGCCATCCTGCCTTGCGGCAGTCCGTCTTGCTGTTGCTTTGATAGTTGTGTTCACATCTCTGCCTACCTGCCCTTTTCATTGTAGCTGCTACTCAGCTGGAGGCCTCCCACCTGAACACCGCCTGTTCCCCAAACAGGCCGGTGTCACAAGTCAAGTGGGATTATCTGTCCCAATGAAACGGTGCAAAGATCAGACATTTCTATGCAATACTATTGCCATCCTTATTGAAAAGAGACTGATAGTCTCCCTTGTCGAGTTTTACTGTGGTTTGAAATAGGGAACAAGGAAGGGTACAGTGAAATCCTAATAAAAGCATATAGAGAGATGGCAAGGCAAGCAATGGACACTACTTGGTGTCCACTACTTGGACTCCTAGCTTGAATACATGTTAGAAACACTTCATATTCCCTTTTCCTTGGTGCTGTAGTCCGGTAGCTCATAAGCACCACTTGTCCTTAAATATGGTACCAGCTTCATAACTGTCAGAGTTTGTCTGATTGATAGCTGTCATTGTCCGTTTGACCCCTCAAACCTTCATTTTATCACTGCTCACAACGCTGCCTTGTCAGGCCCCTCCCAGCAAAGGCTTACTTGTCCTGCCTCATGGCTATTTCAGGCGCGGCGTCTGGAGTTGAGAGGGGGGCGCGCTCTGACAATGACACGGTGACAACATAGCTGGGCTGTTTGTAGTGCCCTGGTGTACTCTTTTGAGGCTGGGACTGCTTGCTAGTAAAGACTTAGTCCTCTCATTGGGATGGCTGTGGAACTTCAATTTCAATTTCACCCAGAAACAGGCTCTGACACCTTGGCAATGATATTACATTATTCAAGGCGTGGGCTTAAAGAATAAAGATACTTGTACAGGTCCCCATGTTATCAGAAGGTCTGCTCTTAAATGTGAGCAGCTTCATCATGAGAGATTGTCTTGTCCTGAGTTTGTGTCTGACTGCACGCTCTGACAATGACATGGTGGCAACATAGCTGGGCTGTTTGCAGTGCCCTGGTGGCACTGCGCCAGACTGGACCGACTTTGATTCACAAGTGTGGCATGAGAGATAGGCAGGGGTGTGATCATGAAGAATCCAAACACTGTTTCTGTTTCTAAAGCTCTATTGTGACAGCAAGTGGAAACTTTCGACGGCACTTAGACACATTTAAGTATGTTTAGCAATGAAGTGCCAATTGTGAGACAACAATAGCTACTTTTAGTTATTTATTTAAATCATTGGACGATTGCACATACAGTACTTTGCTTTGTTCATCGGCTCATGTTTTGTTGCCTGAAATATATCCGTGTTCCTCTCACTGGCAAGAAACTGTGAAGAAAGGTTTGACAGCAACATGACAACATTTGTGTCGGTAAAATGATCAGGCTTGTTTAGTCCCAGCAGCCATTTCCAGATTCTTGAATTTCTTGGGCTCTGATGTTTGTGTGTGATTGTTTGTGCCTAAGAGTCTTTCTAGCAACATGCTCCTGCTATCAATTTACCATATCACTTGATAACATGTTCTTAAATAAAACTGTTAGTAAAACACTTAACAGCATGTAAACAGGACTAATGTTTTGTCCTTTGTATTAGGAAACTCCTAACTGCAACACACAGGACAGCAAACATGACTGTTCACCCTGACATTTCAAGCAAGTATATCATATATTTCAGGCAGAGTTTGAACATTAGAGTTTGGAATAACTTCAGGATGAGAGAAATATTGGATTACTGAGAAATAAGGACATCTAATTATGGCATATTTGCATGTTGCAAGAAATACCAATGTAAAATGAAATCCTGTACTCCATGTACAGTTTAGTATAGCTAGTGCCTTGAAAGGGACACTGAATGCAGTTCGAAGCAAAATCAAAATATCCCAATAGCCAATTGCTTAGAAATAAATCATGGCACCCCCTTGCCAGCACAGCATGTTGTTTGTGTAAAGGTAAAGAAGTAAAAATCCGCAAGCTCTTCCTCCAAAAGTCAAAAGCTTGTTTTGATTGACTGACGTTCTTGTCCTTAAATCAACCTTGCAGGTTGCATCAGACAGAACCTGTAATGCTGCCAGATGAAGTCCCAGCTCCCTGCGGCTCTATAAGCTGGACACTGCAGCAGACAAGTGGGCTAAGTAGAGCCCTGGCTTGCGACAGGAGAGCTAGGAATGAGGGGAATGTGACCATCAGCCTGTGAAAGCCCAGGCCGTCAGAAAAAATGCCTGCTTTACTGGTGATCAGCAACCTGCTCCCAGCACCTCTCTGTGTCCATGAGTGATGGCCGACCACACTGCTGTTCGAGCCCATGTGTGGGTGTCCATCATGTCCACAGCCTGGGCTCCTCAGCAGCCAAGGCTCTTGGGAAAGTATTCACTGCTCCCATCTCCTATTATAGCATTGCCTGCCTGCAATTTAAGGCTGTGGGAAGATTACTTGACGTGAAAGTCATTCTGGACCTCTGTGGCTGGGCAGCCATAAAGATCCCCTGTATGCCTTATGACCTTCTTTGCTAAGAGGTAAGTGTCTGCAGATAGTAAAATAAAAATGCCCTCGAATTCCTTTCTACTTTTAAAAAGGTCCCAAGTGCCGACACAGCACAATGAGCCCTGAGTCGCCAGAGACTAAACTGGGATTTGTCTCGCCTCAAGGAAGTGTAGGATATTGGCCGAACACACAGCTGCAAGGAACAGAACTGGTTCCCATTTATTACTGTACCATGTACAGAGCAGGGTGGAAAAAACATTTATTTTTTTTACAAATTTACTATACTATTATTAAAATATTTTAATATTGACTGTTTCTTGTGAAATTACCCCAAACAGGCCAAACAATCTTGCATTTTATAAGCATTTTAAATATGTTGGCTGTTTAGCAATCATAGACAACAATTAAACATACTGCACATAGCGACAAGAAATTTTGAATTGTAGTGGCATGTTAATGGCACCACTTATTATTTATATTTCAAACCTTAGCCAGCAAAAATTAAGACACAATATTTGTTAAATAATTCAATAGATGAAAAGCAATAGGAATTTCCTAATCAAACCGTGACCTGTGTACATATAAATAAGAAAGGTTACAAATGACAGCTACAGAGACCTCCAAAAGTATTGGGACAGTAAAAAGTGTTACTTTTGCTGTGAAATCTAGTAAAGAAAGTCTAGATCTAACATCCTGGGTGAATGAAACAAATCGATCATATTTAACAGGCACAGAAGTATTGGGACAATCTGCAGAAAAGTGTCTTGGCCAAGTGTTTGCTGTTCGATCATTAGACACTAATAGAAGATTGGAACTTCTTAGAAACCTCACTTTGATGTCAGTGCCTGGAGTCCCTAATCAAAAGTCAAAGTATAAACCAAGGAACTTTCTGCTAAAGAAAAGTGGGCAAATTTGAAACTGTCAGAAAACCCCAGTCAGAATAATTGCACAGAAACTTGAACAATTTGAAATTTACTGAAGAAGAAAGTAACCACTGGTATAGTTACCAACTACCAAGACTGGGTTGCCAAACAAAACATCTGAATGAGATTTCCAAACCTTTATCGGAGCTGTCAAGGAAACCCTAAAACAGCTGTCGGTAAAAGCACCCACAACCTCCATTCTGCAGAGGTGAAGATATCAAAATGAATGTATCACAGTGGAATGAGACAGCAGAGATAATCTTTTACCAAAGTGACAGAGTGGTGAAATGTGGAGACGCACCTCGTGATCCTAGTCAGTCAAGCCATGGAGTGGGCACTGGTGGGAGTCCCGATAAGGGACTCACACATTTTCTTTATTGATAATTGAATTAATGTCAGTAGCATCAGCACAAAGTCTGAAATTTACAGAAACGATTTGTCTGCTTATGTATAGTATAAGAACTTGCTTCCATACTCATCAGATGACGCTTCACCACGTTAAATTACATTGACCCATAACATAAAGCCCATGAAACTTGATGGAAGTTCATCAGGAGAATAAAAGTGGAAATTTTTCTTCTTAGACCAGCCAGGTCATTCTCCAGATGAGCAACATTTTATATGCTGAAGAATTCATTGTAGTCCAAAATCCCCCAAAATAGGTAAGAACTCAAAGTGGGGCTGCAGCACATGTTTGGCAAAGCATCTCTCATGTTTACCCACAGAGTTGAGAGAGTTTAACAGGTCCTAAACTGCATGGAGTTACGGCCTCAAAGAGTTAAGTAACCAAACGCTGACATTCACACTCTTAAATTGACAAATTTACATAAAGTCAATGGGTCCCAAGTGAATAGTCGTTTGGAATCATTGCGTTGGACACAAAGCCTGTGTTTGCTCTAATACGACCACGTATGTATGGAATTACCCAAAAAATAAAATGTATATTATATCACGCTTATCCTTCCTATTTAACTTTTGATTACAAATACAAATTGGTTGAATAAAAATTAAAAGCAAAGAGTGACATTGACTTTGCTGACTCACGCTGTAAATGGGATGGATGGCCCAATAGTGTCACGTACTACAGCACCACCAAAACAAGGGCAGGTGTGAGACAACAAGACAGGAGGCCACACTGTGGCAGAGCCCTGCTGGAGGCCCTTCTGACGAAACAAACCTGCAGAGATAAAGCAGAGAAATGACTGCGGGAAATCCACATGAGTAAAGTACACGGAGTTCAAAGTTTTAAAAAAGGCTCGTGAACGGGAATAAGGGAGCAGGGTTAAGTTACAAAGCTAGAATTCCAAATGGCTATGCTCGCATCAGTGGCTGAGCTACGGAGTGCCACTTGCAGCCTGACACCAAGGTGCACGAACATGATTTGTGAATCTGTGTGGGTAAATGCAGTCAGCCAGAGGACTGATAACACTGGGTAAGAAGGATTGCTGAGCATTCGTTCTGGATTTATTCAGGAAATTGTAGGATCTGAACATTCCCCCTTTATCTAAATACCTCAGGTCCACATTTCCACAACCTGGCGCACTTTAGAGGAGCCTGGTAAGGCTTCCTCTTTCCAGAGTGTTGCGAAACAAAAAAAAAACATGTAAACAAGAAAGAAAGCTAAACACCTCCAGGACCAAACTGTTATGATCGGTTGTGATTATCAGATGACATTCATCGAGGCAATTCTCATGTCTCAGCTTCACTCCAAGAACATCGGACACATTTGTCTGTGATGCAATTGGCTATTTCTGTTGTGAGACATCAGTGCCTAAAAGCTTGACAGCCCACGTGGTCGGCCTGATGCACTGACAAGCCCGAATTAATGATGGATAGCAAAAAAGCCTCTCTGGTAGACCTCAGCTGAATTCTGGATTCGATACAATGGTTTCTAGAGGTACAAAAAGATAAACTGGACTGTAAAGGAAGGTGGACTTGCAGCTCCAAATATAAAAATAGCTGACGAGCCTGTTTATTTCATCTGCCTGTTACTTGACACCAGATGGTTATTCCAATACGTGTGCAAGGTCCTTCCCATGTTACAGCTCTGTTGGTTTCGGCTGCGCCTCCATCTATTTCAGGATGTTTGACTTTCTTCTGGTTCCTTGCCTAGATCGTTTCTCCTGGTTTGGGAGGTCTGAGTGTCTTTAAAGATTTTCTTGACTTTTGTTTCTGTGAGGAAGAAGCAATGCAGTTTACAGGATCACAGTGTTCAGTAATGTGAGAGGGGGAAAATGCCTATTCTGCACTTGCCCTGCTCGAATGACAGACTCAGGATTTCCTAGTGAACTATTCTTCTGGAGCCTTGACTGAAAAATCTCACCTCAGAATGGAAGGCAGGAGCACAAGGTAAGCTGTGAATTGACAAACGGCTCAGATTTTGTGAGACAAAGCATTACAGTTTGGGGAAACCAGACGATAAAGTATTCTCGTAGCGTAAGAAAGACAGAAAATACCTAGTATACAGCAAAATACTAACTTATATTTTTTCTTCATATTGTACCGAGAAAGAAAACTAATAATAATTAGGAAAAATGAAGAACAAGAAGAAATCACTTGGATTTGCTGTTAATAGGGGCAAAGTAACTGTGAAAGTTTTATGAACGAGTGAAATAAATTGCGTAGTAAAAAACATTTTTCTTTATGTTTAACACAAAGTAAAACGATATTTCAGAGGTAAGGTGGGATGTACATATTTAACATACCCTGTTTACAAGCAAAGAAAAGTCCTTAATGACAGGAATTTGTGTGCCCTTTTCAATTTAAAAAGGAGCTCCACTCAAGGTGTTGAGTATGCGAGTGAAATAGGTAGCACCTCAGAGATTAAAAATAAACTGGTCACTAAGGCAGACATGGAGAAATCATCTAGACTGCTACTGGTATCAAATTATAAGCACTGGAAAATGTCATAAATGGCTGCTGTATTTTAGTCGAGACAGATCAGATACCCTTTAATATACTCAGCTGTTTTGTGGATTTTATTTTACTTTTTAAATCAAGAGCTTGTATGTGAAACACATACTGTATGTGTCTGAAACCAAAATGTTTAGGAAACGGTTATCATTCTAGATTGAAAACATAGAGACCAACAGACAGATAGACAGACAGACAGATGGGTTTCGCAAAGGAAGAGTAGTACAGTATGTCTCTGTTCACTTGTGAAACCTTCAGGTGAGCAGTTCAAAAGGGGCTCTCAGGCTGGACTGGGCCTTCACAAAGCGAGTGTGCCAGTTGCTGTAAACATCACTGCAGACATGAATCACATTCTCATACTTAGCATAAAATGTTTTTGTAGCGCTCTTGTTTTTCTTGTTTAATAGTTAAAGCACAAGTTTTGACAAGAAGTGATCTAGGGTGTGGCTAGTGTCACAGTCAGGGTGTTTGTTGGTCAGCAGAGATGTTGGCCGTGGAGAACAGGAGAAAAAAGGATGTGGTTGCCATGGCTACTGGAAGACTGTAAAGACAGGGGCTAGAGCATCTCTTGGTTGGTGAGGGAATTCCAGGAGGATAAAACTGTTCTTAGTATTTTGATAGTAATTCTACTGTAGGAATTCCTTACACTGTGTGGATTATTGGCATCTGCATTTAGATTTCACTAAATCAAAGTTTTCTCTCTATACAGTATAAGGGTGATTGTTAGCTCCTCAAAAACCAATAGCCTCTGTTGAGGAAAACAGAAAAACAGTTACAGTATGTGATGTTAAATACCTTTTATCAGCCATTGTCTGGAATTGCTGTATTACATACTTTTAAAGCTTTATTTGTAGCCATTCCACTTTCACTGTACCATGCGTGTAAAGTGTATGTACTGTATACAAGGGCTTTTAGTGATTATTAATACATACCAGCAATGTGAATGTCAATTTTCTGCCTAAGTGCATCATTTGAACTTTTTTTATTTTTAAAATTAACCTCAATTCAAAAGCATGTTCAAGTGAAACAAATATATATATATTTTTAAATGGGAGCTTTAACCCATGGAAGGATAATGCTGTTCAGTTCACAAAACAAAGTGACTCAGAATAATGCAATACAGGCATTTCATAAACCCGGTCATTTCTGTCTTAAATTCAGATCAAAGGAATTCTTAGTATTTATTTCACATGATGACTTATTAGTCTTGTTACAGGTGAGCTAGATGAGATTATTTTTTTAATTAAGACATATTTAAAATTGTGCATATCTCTGCAGGCTCTCTGGGATTTGTTGTTCTCAGTAAAACTGTCTTTATACGCTGGTGGCCAGCAGGTTATGATGTGGATTACCTAGATTTTCTAGGTCAGTTGTACAAGTAGAAAATGGAGAGCATCCTCCTGCCAGTTGAAATCACCCATGTCACGTGTTCGAGGCAGGAAATAAAACCCCCTCCCATTTCTCACACTGCTGTGACAAAACCACTGAAGTACTGTTTTGTAGAATGAGATCAGCGGCTCCACAACATACTGTGTAACTTAACTCCTTCATTAATATGGAAGTTAAGAAATAAATCAGGCCTAACTCCCTGCGTGTGTTTTGACTAGCCTCTAAAACTATTTGAAATGCATTGATTACTGCACCCAAGAGAGGAAGAGAGAGGTGTGGAGCTTTCAAGAATAAAAATGTTTGTCTATATTGTACAACTTGTCTGCACGTACTGTATGTGCTTGTTTCTGTAATGCAGAGCAGTCTGTGTGAAGGAGGAAAGCTAGTGCTGCCAGCCAGTGCAGGGACACACAGTCAGACACATGTTTGTAGACATTTCAGACAAGGCTAATAATCCAGGTGACCACAGCAGGAGCTGTGTGGTGTGTGGTTCGTACACTGAAGGGACAACAGCCAGCTATCTCTGCAGTGTGGCATTGAGACTGTGTAATAGTCAGGGGAGTGGCGTCAAGACAAGAGGCTGGCCATCCCATGTCCTCTCACTGGACATTGGGCTTTGGAGGACACTGCTCTGCTCAGTGCTGAGTCAACCTGTATTTGCGTATCAACACCACATAAGACCTTATAAGCTCCTTGATCTCTTGGGGTCGAGCCAGAGATCAGAATCAACAAGTGCCATGTAGAGGAGAGTGGGTCAGAATATTTATTGCTGTGGGGACGGGATGGAGCACTCACACACTTTATTTTGAGTGTTGCTCCTTTCTTGCTTCCACATGAAAAAGTCTTACAGGAGGTTAATGTTTTGTTTTTTTCATTCGGTCTTTGAAGGATGATTTTTTTACTTTAATTCATTTTTAATTAATTAGGCATTCATTAGGTAACATAAGGTATTCTTTTTGGCAGATTTACCACCCTGCATGTTAGGATGTAATGTCAAAAGGATTGCATTCCATTGCTTTCTTTTGAGGTGCAGATACACCATATAGAAAACATTTGTATTAAAATAAAAACTAAAGAGCAGGCACAGGCAGCAGTGAAAGGAAGGGGTGTTCTATGGGGCTTCAGTCTTTGGTGAATGGATGACAGAATGCTTTCTTTAGGGGTCAGTGCAATTGCAAGCTATGCTATGATGGAAGAGCCCTGGTGTTTAAAAATAGCTTATGTTTGGTATTACAGTACCGGTTTTGTATGTTGTCATTGTTGCAGAGTTCACTACACATATGAGAAGGTCAAAGCTGTAGTATAGAAATGATTTACTATTCCGGGCATCTAATATACTATTTTAAACTTTTAATGGCAGCTGGGCATCAATGTGACCAAACACGGGGAATCGAGGAATAATTAAATAAGAGAGCGCTGAAGAGGCATGCTGCAGCAGTGGGCTCTGCAACAGGTAGGATTTACTACTGAAAAGATTCTGCAGATGTAAGAATTTCACTCTGAGTGAAAGCAGGCTAGCGTGATTTATAATTCAGTATTATATACTAACATTACATTACACTTAGTGCTTTTTTAACTATGATTATTGTGATGAGTGAACAAGCTTCTGTAAATTGTTTTTTTTTTTACGAAATACATGCAGATGCACCGTTTCTATAGTAAGATTCAATGCATGCCCCCAGCACTCCACCCCATTCTACCCCATAAAAAAACGTGCATTACGTCCAAATTGAGAGTAACAGAGAACCACAAATCACATCAGCCCTGTAAGCTTTTCTTCTGTCAACGTAATTGAACATATTTTTTCTTAAATGCAAGCGATCGTTTCCTTTGCCGAGGTGGAGTTTGCAATGAAAGCTGGAGGATGTTCCTAATCCCATTGTCATTTGCAGGAAAGAAATGAGATCATATTGCCTTTTGGAAGGTGAGCTGGTTAAATGCAAGACAGTGTAGGTAAGACATCTGGAAGACTGATTGGGACAACTGGCCCAGCGCATGTGAATAAGCATCTGAAATGAGCTTTCTGGAAAAGTGCCACATGAGTCACAGAGGAAGTATGCAGGGGCACTACAAATACACAGATGGCTTCAGTGACTCTTCGAGTGTTGGGAGTTTCATGGACGAAACGGACAGAGAAGTCAGCAGTCTTACCGACCGAGCGTTCAGGAGTTTGTGCATTGGAGATGAGGCCATTTACAACGACGCAGATTTTTCTTCTCCCCCAGCCGGTCTTCACAGAACTTTCATCGAAGACAATCAAAGCCAAGAACTCCTGAAAGAAAGTGCGCAAGAGAGATACGCTCTTGCAGTGAAAAGGTACACAGACTCGGAGAAAACCTCAGAGGTTGCTGCAACATTCCAGCAGTCCGTCTCGGAAAAGACAAAGCAAGAGCAAGTTTGCAAAAACGATGCAGTGTTACATTTAAGCAATGGGTCTATTGGAACAGCCTGGCCACAGAGGAAGAATGCATCCAAGGTGTCCTCGCTCATCAAGGCGTTTGATATTGTGGAGAACGCCACTGACAACAGTATGAATGCCGATAGCAAGCAGAGCACGGCATGCACAGCAAACAACAATTACAACTACAGGGAGAACAGCTGCGAATCTTGGGACAAATCCGCCCTGTTGAGTATCCAGAGGGAGTTATCGGAATTCTCTGATGCCTACCAGCAGAATTTTATCTCAAGCACAAAATCTGCTGCAGGTGACAACTGGAAGAAAGCAGGGCAATTCCCACCTCCCAGAAACCACTTTCATTCTTCTGAAGTAAGAGCTGCTCAGCAGTCGTCTGACAGGGGTGCAACTGTCCCTTCCACGAAGCACTCAAAAACGAAAAGCAGCAGGTCGAGCAAGGGGAAGAAACTGAGCTTGAGGAATTCGTTCCTCCACAGTGAATACAGCCCATTCCAGTCATGGAAGGATTATAAAAGATACCCGTTTGACACAGAAGAGGTAGCAGACCTCTTGTCCTCAGATGAAATCCCCAGGTGGTACGACTCGCCTCTCTACAAAGAGTTAACTGCTGCACACAGGACACAGACCCCCCAAACTGGGGACAGGAAAACGCACAGGAGGCACACTGACGACATGATCCCTGCAGAAGTACCCGGGTCGACAGTTCTACAAAAAGCTTTATCCGTTGAGAAACGGTGTGAATCTGAGATGGGGGCTAACTGTGCCCCTTGGAGAAAACACAGAAACCTGATCACGAACAAGCCTCCCCTGCACAGACCCTGTACAGTGTCCCCCCAGGGTGAAAAATCTAGGCACAGAGAGGAAGGTCTGTGTCCCCCGGGCAAGGTGCCTCCAGGTCATCAGAGAGCACAGACCTTGGTGGCTGAGCAGACGGCTCACGCTGCCTCTCCTCCTTTCAACATTTCCAAGCTGCTGACACCTGTGATTCATGCGAGACAAGAAACGGAGACGTCAGAAATCCTGCAGTGCGCTCTTTCTCCACCAGTCATCGATCTCAAGACGTTAGCTGAACCCGAGGTCAGACCTGTGCCAGAGCACAAATTCCGTGACAGCTACAAAGCTATGGCCTCCAGCCTGCTATTTAATCTCAAAGATAACAGGAAAAGGGTGAAGAGCAAATACAGCCCAACAACCTTTAAAAGCCAGGAAGTCCATGACCGAAATAAGCAGCCCTCCAAGCAAGAGGTCATTTCCAGAAACGTACCGATGACTTCAGATGCTCCTGCTGCACGGAGTGGGTACAGCTGGACACTTGAAGGCAAGAGATATCCCGTCTGTTACCAGCCCTGTCTTGCAAACAATCAACATGCAAAGCGCTGATCGAAAATATTATGCTGATGCTTGCATCTCAGATGACTACTTGACATTGAGTTCACCTCACACTGTAAAAGAGGCTGCTAATTATAAGTGCTTCAGTGCTGCAGCACAGGAAAGCGCCGTGAGCACAGATCAGCCTGCCGAAAGCCAAAGAAGTAGGTTCAGTGACTCCCAGGTGGTGCTTTCTCCTAGGTCGCATGAAATCACCTCGCGAAAGAGACCAGACTACCCTTCACTGAAACTATACAGGAAAGAAAATACTAAGGAAGAAGAAGTGAAGGAGCAGGTGGCAACAGTGAAAAGGCCTCTGCAGTCCACTGCGACAAGAGACAAAGACAATGCAGGAAAGCCAGTGCAAAGCTTGATCAATAAAAAACCAGAAGCCCCTAATTTTTCATTGCAGGACAATGGTATTAAACCGAATCCCACGTTTTCTCTTAAAACCAGCAACGTCAACCCGAAAACAAAGTCTCCCAAGGAGCCACAACTATTAGCAGACCAGAACCTTCAAACTATTCATGATGAGGATGTGAAAGTGGAATTTGCTTCGTGGAATCTGAGTGTTTCTAAAGAGAAGAAGGAGGAGACTGAGGACAAGGCTGAGGAGGGGAAGAAGGAAGTGGACAAGTCGGAAGTGCAGTATTATGCTCTGAGTAACCATGAAGGAGAGAGTGAAAGGAAAGCCAGGCCAGAGAGCTCTCCTCAAAGACGGGAGAGGACACCTCCAAAGGAGGAAACTGAAATATCCCCCAGGGGGCTGGAGGAAGGCGGGTGGGTGCACTGTTTAATCGATTACGCAAAGGCTTACACACCAGTGCCAATCTCAAATGCGCCCTCTCCATCTTTAACAAAACTCAACATGTTCAAAATTAAAGATAACACCTTTAGGACATCGCCTGTAATCAAGGCTGTCAAGCCACCTTTGCACAAAACATTTCCAGAGGAGCTGCAGCTAACTGCTCCCCGAGAACGTGTGAGCAACCCGGAGAAGATTGAGGAACAGGGGGTCGCACACAGTCCTGAAGTCCAAAGTGAAGCTCCCGGTGTCAATGAAATTCCTGTTTTAGATGAAGTCCCGGTCCCTGAGCCGCCCCAGAATGAGAATGAAGTGCCGTGTTTGGGTGAAGACCCAGGTGCAGGCAAAGCTGAGTCCCCTCTTGGAAGTAACTCAGCACCCAAAGAAGATGAAAGTCAGGCAGTTGTGAATGCAGTGTCAGAGGATGTAGAAAGCTGTGTTGCAAGCTCAACAGGTGCGGAGGAGAAGGCTGCTAGTGCTGCAAACGTTGAAGAAACAGAAGGCTCCAAGGATGTTAGTGAAAGGTCCGACTCAGTCTGTAGTGCTAGTGAAAACAAACCGCTCGGCAAACCACCAGCTGTTCCCCCGAAAACGGAAAAAGCCCTTCGGCGTGCTAAGAAGCTCACAAACAGAAGAAGAAAGGTTGATACCAAGCCCAAAGCGGATAGCAATGCCGTAACTGACAAGAAGCCTATCCGGGCGGTTTCTAGCACGCCCTCGTCTCCAGCTTGTCTGCTGTCGTCGCCCCTTCCCGGGAACCCCGTGTCCTCGGCTAGCCCCGCGCAGCCCGAGCCCAGTTACGTCCCGCCGGCTGCGAACGTGGTGACGCTGAAAGGAGCGCAGTCCCTCCAGCCTTTCCCCCTCACCCAGAGGAAGCTCCTGCAAGACCCCGAGTCCGGGCAGTACTTCGTGGTCGACATGCCGGTGCAGGTCAAGACAAAAACTTTCTTCGACCCGGAAACGGGGAAGTACGTTCAGCTGTCAATCAGGTCGACCGAGGGGGGCTTGTCACACGCGTCGTCGGTGGAGGTGCTGAACACCCCTTCTTATGTGCTGTACCCCGGGTTCCTGCCCCTCCCCGTGACGACGCTGCCGACCCTGAGATCTTCCTCTCAGATGTCAGCCCCCGCGGCTCTCATGGACGACCCCGAGAAGCTGCGGCTTTCGGAGGCTTGGGCACAGGAAGTCCTCAAACAGAAATACAACCGGGAGAATCAGCCCTACATCGAGCCTGCGTGCGAATCTCTTAGCCAGGTGGCAGATGATTCTGCGTACAGTGAAGGCAAGACCAGTGTCAGCCCAAGGAACCTGGACATCATATCAATGAGTGAACTGGAAGATTTTGCTGTTGAGAGTGTTTCATAAATACAAAAGACAAAATTGCACTGTCTTTACAGAAAAAAAATATAGCCAAAGGATGGCAAAATACTGGACTAACTAAAATGGTTAGAATATAGTGTAAATGTATATACATAAGAGATGTATATCAAAGTGGCTGTACAGTATATCAGGTGGATTTGTAAAGATGAAAACAAAGAAATGAAAGTAAAATCTTATTATTTTTTTGTTTCCCATAACGGAGCAAGAGCAGATGAACAAATTTACACTATAAATTATTATAAATGTAAAGACTGATGTCTAGCAAAATACTTTTGATTTTTTAACATGGCTTTAGATTTTGCAACAATAGAAAGAGCTGGGCTATTTGTTAAATAAATGTTTTGCTAAAAAATAATTTATACCATTCCATTTGAAAATGTTGTCTGAAAGATAGAAGACCTACTAGGGAATTTGTTTTATCTCTTGCAATTTCGCATACCCTGAGAGGGTATTCTGTAAGGGTTATGTTATACAGTACCTGTTTACCACAAATCTTCCTGTAACGGTTTGTAATTGGGGAGAAGCGAGCAAAATAACGCAGGCAGACAGGATTCAGCTGTTCCCATCAGTACATTGTAGTAACTTTTACAGTAAGTCATTGCAAGCGAGTTTTATTTTCATTGATTTGTGCAAAGTGGATAATTTGCTGCCTTGTGAGAGTCATGCATCACTTGGGTGTAGAAACTATAATGAAGAATTGTACCTCATTATCGTGTTTTTACCAAATGAGCTACAACTGTGAGAAATATATATTTTTTGGAATCGCTCAAGTGCTTGTGCATTTTTTTTTTACATAAAGCACTTCTAGTATTAAGTTCAGAGGTGAAAAGCAGCAGAACCTGATGCGAGAATCCAGGACTTCTTCACCTTGTTTGTCTGTGCCAATGCATCTGAAGCACAGTTCACAGTGCACAGTGCCATGCTGAAGACACTACTCGTGCTCCCCAAAAATACTAAAATCTGATACTTCCGTTCATATCTGTGTGCATCTTCGTCTGCTATCGTCATTGTCGTTACTTGTGAGAAAAATACTTGCTCTACTTTTATCTGCTCACATTGGTGGTTCTTTTTACCCTCCTCTAAAAGGAACGTTAAAAATACTTTAATTCTGATGGTGACAAACTAGACACCATGTACTGTGCTGATCTGCCAGTCAGTGCCGTGTGTGAGGATTAAAATATTGTCTTTCAGTCTGCCCTCTTGACTGGTCCTTCCTTATACACAAAAAGAGAGACTGAACTGGCCAGAGTTAAACAAACTTCATGGTAGAATGACAAGTTCAATACACAATTCCAATGTTAATTTGAACGTGAAGCAATTTCCCAAAGGCCAATTGATTCTAATCTCCATATTCTTCATAACATCATTTCACATTTGTTTGAATGGGGCTGCATGAGCAGTTTTATTATGGCCGTGTTAAAAACAGTCTGAATAATTAGCATTTCAATTTGGGTCCTAATAGCATAGACCGATAGACATTCACAATTATCAGAATTTGGTATCTTACACTTCACAGCAGTAATAATGCACTTTCTTAATTATATTTTCCAAAGTAATACCCTGATTAATTTTTTGGGGGAAAATGTCCTATTTCATTAATTAAATATCATCAGTAACCTTGGTCAGTAAGGGTGATACAGAAATAGTATATATGATTTTTTTAAACTCTATATTTTAAGATGCATGGCATCTTCGATCTACTGTATAGTGGAACAAAAGTCTCATTCCACTGCCCATCATCACTGTAAATAAACTGGAATTTCCACTTCACACCAATACATTCAGGAGTGTAATACTCCAATAAGATAGCAGATCAGCACCTATGTAACAATACAGTCAAGATCACAAGTATAATAGAGTAACACAGTCATTGCCTACAGGAAAATGTACTGTACACCCAAGACTCAGCAGAGCTTTTGTTCATTTAATGTTATTTTTGTACATACTGTACATTTTACATTGCTTTTTAGAACATTAGTACATGTAGTCAAAGTTTTCTTTATAATATCAATAATATTAATATAAGATTATTTAGTAATATAAATTAGTATTTAATAATAGATATAGAAATTAGTAATTATTTTATTTTAATTGGAGTTCTTTAAGGTATAGTTTTACTCTCATCCACATCCTCTGCCATACATGTAAGAACATAAGAACTGTTACAAACGAGAGCCTGTTTGGTGGTTAGAAGTTAATTGATCCTGAAAGAAAGCAGTCTATCGGCTTCAGCGGTATTGCTGAGTAACGTATTCCACACTTCCACGTTCCCTCATAGTCTTGTCTGTCCAAGACTAAAAAGGTCCTGCTCAGGCTTGAAAAGGTAGCCTTGCATTCTGGTTTAGAAAAGGGTTTTCTCGTGATGAAAGTGTGCACAATTTGTATTTAATAGCAACACATAATTGTTTTCTTTCTATTGCACAGATTAAAGTAAAAAAGGATCTTCCTACCTCGTCAGTCCAGTACTCCTGAACCATTTCGAAGCAGGTAGACCACTATTACCAATTCACATTTCTATTCGTCGTATTAACAGAGCTGCAGCAGACAGCGAACTGAGGAGGCTTGAGCACCAGTGCGGCCCAGGCTGCCGGTGAACACTGCTCTCTCTCGCCTGCGCAGCCCCCAGCCATGAGGACAGTGAGGAGCGATGGGGGAAAAGGAGAGGCCTAGAGGTGTGCTGGGTTCTTCTCGCCCTTGGAGACAGTCAGCAAGTGCAGCAATAAAACGGCAACCGATCATTGAAAAAAAGACCCGTTGAGTATTTTTCACGGATCATTCACTGCAGTGCTAACCAGGGGAAACTGCTGAGCAAAATAAAAAGTTGGTAGAATGAGCCTTTAAAACGAGTTCAAGAATGTAAATGCAACACAGTTGGAGTAAATCGAAGTGCATCTG